CATTTTTCGTTTCGTCAATAAAAATTTCAGTTGGGATTCAGCGCCCGTCGTCGTTTCGCCTTTCTTCACCTGTGTCTTTGCGCTCTTTTTTTTTTCATGTTTAACTCATTTAGGTAAACAATGAAATGAAATGAATTCTTGTTATTGTTACGTATACCTATGCCATAACACGCATATTACACGCAAAACATTGTGACTGGTAATTTAGTACTCACATTAGTTAATATAGCATATGGAAATTAATAGCGATTTCTTCGAGTAAGATACACAGACGGGACAGGTTTTGAACATTGTTGTTTTTATTTCTCAAGGCATGCAATGCGTTCACTGTGAGCTGAACTATAACCGTTGCACAAAAACTGCATATTTCAGAATCGGTGCCCAGATTTCAGATATCGGAGAAATAATTATCGATAACTGTTTCGAAATGGGACGTGGATTTCCTTCAGAACTGGCTCTCATATACGTAGGGTTACCAACCGTCCCAAATTTTGCGGGACTGCCCCTACTTTTCGTGAACCGTCCTGAGTCCCGCGCCATCTTTGGAAGGGCAGCTATATGTCCCGGATTGGCACCGGGGCCATTCAGTTAGAAACTGTTACGTGATTACACGCACTCCCAACAATGCGCCTCGCGCTAAGGAACATGAAGTTCACACAAATCACATGCTCAAAGCAATGTTGTGGTGGCTAGTGGTGAATACGAAGGTTTTAAGCACTTTAGCTGAACTTCCGCGGGAAGTTGGAAAACTTTTACAGTTATATAGAGTATGCAGCAACAGTAAGTGCTACAAACAGTACGTCGTAGCGAGCTGAAGTGGTTCAAAAGGCCGCAACTAAAAAGAAACGAAGAATCTGCCTGGAAGATACCGCAATAATGGATACTCACGGTGAATATCTCGCTGTGTCAGTACATATTACCCCCTCCGTCCCGACTTCTTCGATTTGACGAGTTTGTAACCCTATACGAAATACGGAGCATCGACGCCCGGGTTCACACGGATTGTTACTCTGGAAGTTTAGTGCTCACATTAGCTTATATTATCTTGAAATTAACAGCGCTTTGTTCGAATAAGATACACAGATGGGACCGCTTTTGAGCACTGTTCAAACGGCAACGTTAGGCACAGATTTTATTGAAAGTCTCAACGCTCTCACCAATCCCGCTTTCACCAGCTTCACTATCGCGGCCTTTGTGGGACTGAATTTGGTGACAGTGGCTCGCTAGCTGAGGTGAGTTTGGGACCCACCCCTGCGGGTATGTAACCTTCCTTGAGGCCGTGGTGGCGCCTGTGTATTCCGTCGGGCTGTACGGTACACATCCCGCGCTTCTCCAGCCGGTGAAACGCGCGTCGCGTCAAAGGTTCCCGCGGTGCACAAGGAGCGATCATTGTATAAACCCGCACTGCTCTCTTTTACCTGTGCTCCGCGGTGCGCTTGACAGGCCAGGGAGCGGGGCTGAAAGGAAGAGAAGAGGACGGGGAAGGAGGCGCGGCAAACATTAAACGGTGCTGCAGGTGGATCACACGCCACAACGGCACATCTCTCCAAAACAAACTTGGCACACTGCGGCCCGGTGCTCGCGGCTAAGACGCGTTTATTCTGGGAGGACGCGCAGCGCGGCGACGCGATGGCCCTTCCATCCGTATAACCCTGCGTCGCTCGAAGAAAACGACAACAAACAAAAGCGGTGAAAAAGTGGCGTAACAGATTCCGACGACTTGCGACACTTCCGTTGCTTTACCTCTTCCGTCTCGACGTAGGTATATGCGCGACCGTGTAGCGCCAGTAAATAGGAACTGTAGGATTGTTGAAGTGAAACTGGGACCTGTAGATTCACGAAACGTTTTGTTTGCACATATCTTTTTTTACTCAAGGCTCCCTGGGCGCCGCAGTAGTCCTTTCTGGGCTGTTGTTAGTGTGCGTCAACCCCCCCTCCCAGCCCCCCCCCCCCAAAAAAAAAGCACTGCCGAAGCTGTGACGTTGGCTTTTGTACTCTCGTGCAAGACCCAGGAAATCCTCCTCTCCGTGCAAAATGTCCATAGGGGATGCTTGCCATTAGCTGGTCACCTTCGCTTAACGACATATTCGACGCCAGGATTGGCTGAAATTTCTATTAGAAACTATTCTGCCGCGCTTTCTTGTGAATAATTATATCATCGTAATCGTCTTCAACCTATCCTAGGTCCATGCATGGAGGAAGGAGAAAAAGAAAATTGTATGAAAGCCTCACGTGGCAATCTCTAGCCATACAATAACTTAGTAGGCCGGGGTCACGTGATAGGCCAATGCTGCTATTGGTCAACTATAGCTTTGGCTGCGTCTGCTGCGGACGCTGCGGGGACCTAATTGTACCCAAAATCCACCGCGCACTGGTATTCAACGTTGGAGGAGGCTTTCTTGCCGAGCAAACACGCGATGCTCTCTTCTTGTGCTTTGCTTCCTCCATGGACCCACTGCAGAACGAAAGCTTCTCCCAGTGATCTTTCGGTCCTCGCTGCCCTATACGCGAGCTGATTTTGTTCATTGTATTGTGAACACCAGTCCATAATTTTCGTGCGTTACACAAATACATGCACAACACGAAATTGCAGAGCTCACGGAAACGTTCAGCGTGTTTAGGCTTACAGCCTTTCATTTGAAGCAACACACACAAAACACAGCCCAAGAGTGTTGCCTTATCGGCACTCTTTTTGCACACGTGTGAACACAGCGCGAACGCATGTTCCTTCTTCACTGATTTGGACGGTGACGACGAAAATTTTCATGCCAAGCAGTATCTCGGGGAAACTTATAGACGAAACTACGAAATACGGTTCAATTTTTTACACTAATTGACAGCGCACCGCTCTTTGCGCAGAAATGTGACGATACCTATTCAAATTTGTGTGTCCGAAGCATTCAGGTAAGTGTGCGCAATCTGGACGTCACATCAAAAGAGAAAATGGCTTAACTCAGTGCCCTGCCCATAAACGACGCTTGATTATGCTTCTGGGACTCTACTGCTATGAAATTTTCAGAGGAGGGGCTTCAAGTCCCATAGCCGGTATCAAAAAGGAACGGGCAAAGTAACATGCGTACTATTTTCTGGCAACTAATTTTTAGCCGTCATATCGGTCCCCTATAAATGCTTTCTTTGGCTCTCCACACTCCCGCACTTTTATACGTAGCAATATCTGCGAAATGGTTTAGGATTTCAGCCATCAAAAAAAAAACAGAAAAGGAAGGCAAAAACAAATCACACTCAAACCCGAATTGGTGTTACCATTATCCGCCATGAAGAGCTCCTCCCTTATAAAAGAAGAAATAGGCACATTTATTTTACTTAAAGTCCGAGATTCGAACGAGAGTAATCTGATCAGTGGACCTGTTTTAATTACGACATAATGGTCTCCACTTAATAATTGATGTCGAAATAATTCATCATTGATTGCCACAAAGTTACAAATAGGGCTTAAGTAATACTTTGTAACTCCAAGCAGCTACCGTTGGGCGTTGTGCGTAGTTTAGAAAAGCTAAGTATGCTACCATGGCCAAATGTAAACGATGTAGATGAATAAATAATACACTAGCACACCTTACGTTTCCATATAAGTGTTAGGTGTGGTCTGTAACGTGTGGTTTGCTCGATAAAAAAACAGCCTTGTTTGCTCATTCAGTCACACATGTTCGGTCAGCAGAGAGCATCGCTTGTCTGCAAGCTTCCAGTTGGCGTATCATGACATTTACTAGATAAAAAAAAAATGCCATAAACGCGCGCGACCAGATCTGTGGCGCCATCTGGCGGCGCATTCAAACAACCATGCAAACTACTTTTCCTATCACCAAAGAGCTATTTGATCAAGAACACGCAGGGAGCTCTGCGTTTGGATCGCTACCGGTATACGTTATATCTGCAGAGCCACAACACCGATGACAATGTGTTCAATGTTTTTATATCTAAAAAACACTATTTAAATTAGAAAAACTTGGGCATCGCCTGGTAACCCGGTATTACGCAAAAGCAATAGTGTATACCGAAGTATAGAATGGTTTTTAAAAATAACTTTAGTCGCTTACGCTGAACACTCATAATGCTTTTGAAATCCAATGGGATTAAGTTCGGATTTTCCTTCGTATTGAAACATTATCCCCCGCTACACCTTGACGGCTTCTGTTCCTGTTGTACCAGTATCACTGTTCCTTTTTTTTTTTTTAATGAACATGTGTCCTGAATGTGAATTGATGGTCAATGCCCCCGCGAATCGGCGTATGGGTATGTTCTCTTTAAAGACTGCCACTTTTCGCGTTCGCCAAGGTCGTGCATTAGAACGACAGTAGCAGCGTGTGCCGCGGTGCTTCACTTCGTAGTTCATGCGTGTGCATTCAACGCTCCGTGCTGGAACATCATACTAAAATTGTTCTCAACGCTCAATTTCTGTCTGTGTCTTTGGAACATATCCTCATCACCTGTCCACTCATTGAGGGTTTATGTGATCAACACTATTTCAATCTCAATTCAAAATTTATTCTTTTTTTTTTTTTTCACTTGCGCTCTTGGTAGCAGTGCTCCATACCATGTCCTGTTCTAGCCCACAGAACGCCGGCAAGATAAAAGAAAAGCACTCATGCTTTTAATTCCGTGCAGTAGATCTCCAATTCAGGCTTCCTCCTTACTGTAGGTGGTCTAGTAGTGAATTACATAGAAAACTGTTCATTGGTGTTATGGACACATTCTCACGTATTCAAATGAGTGTTCGAGTGACTGAGACAGTTGACTGAGAGGTGATTTAAGCTACCTATCCAGCTTGCCTTTCAAAGCGCGCCCTTCGCACTGTTACTCTTTACTGGCAAAGCAAACCGACTATACGCGAGCTGTACCACGAAGCAATGCGAAGCGGCTGCTGCACGTTCTTTTGACGGGGCTTGATGCACGCAAATTATCGCATTCTCATATTACATGTCGCACGCAGAGCCGGGGAGAACGATAAGCAAACCATCGCATGTCGCTCCTCTTTGCAGGGTTTGCGTCTGCGAAGTCGAGGAATAACGATCTCATGCAGAAGACAGGGGTTCCTAGAAATGGTCAGTACCCGCCTCTTTGTATTGAACACACATTCTCACATCCTCCCCCCTTAAACGCACCCACCAATTACGTCGTCGGCACGCCGTCATCATCGTTCTCGCAACCACGGCTGACAGAGACATTCGCGACATGTCATGCGTTTTACTCCTAAACGGGCCACGCAACAACAGCAGCGCCATTTGTCAGTTTAACGCGCCGTCGTCATCTCAAGCTCTCCCGCCGCGCGAAAGCACACCTTAAAAACGGCCGTCACGCTATTAACTGCACCCCCGGATTCGTGCTAATCACGCGGGCAGGCTTGTATAGCGTGTACGTATACGAACGCAGCCGCATTCTCGCGGCGCCTCAATTTCTGACACCGTTCGCGTGCAGAGCTTTCGCTAAAAGCGGGGCCATCGCGTGAGTGAAGGAACGGCCTTTCTTTTCCCTTACCGGTGGCCCAGGGAGTCGTCTCGGAGAGCAAACGCGCATTATAAATAACGGCGCCAAGGAGTCATTTCTCCGCGATTTGTTCGGGGAGACGCGCCCGAACGCGCGGTGAAACCCGGGAGCGCGCGTTGTGAAGCCGCGACTTAGGAGGTGGAGGTCTTGTTGTCTTGCCACTGGCACGACATGATTAGTTCCAACGCCCTCCCACCACCCGCCAAACACGAGTGACAACAAATGATTCCCTTTGAGCACGGCGGGGCTTCTCCGCGATACAGGCGAGCTAGCAGCCGCGCGGCTGCCAGAAACAAATCGGGACTTCTACCTCGACAGGCTACGACAGGGACTGAAAGAACAAAGAGTAGACGTAAGGGAGAAGAAGACTTCGTCGTCTTCTCGAAGAAGCCAATAACAACAAAAAGTTAAGAAAAGGTGACGAGCTCAGCAGAGAAAGCGGCGGTGGCTGGCGGCGTAGCAGTAAAGTAACAAACACATGTCGTAACAGAAAGACGCGACGGGAGAGTTAGAAGATGAAGAATAAAAAAAAAAGGGACTAAAAAGCGCGCATGCGCATGTCACCAGTCCTTGGTGAAAGAAGACGAAGCTCTCCTTCTTTCCTTCCTCTCCTTGGCCTCCTTCAAAGTCGGCTGCTCGCAGAGGCGGATGTCGAGCGGCGTCCCTTCCAACCGCGCCTCAAAATATGCGACAGGCGAAGCCGATGGCGGAGCGTAGAAGAAGACAACGCGCTGGGCGTGTGACGCTAGCACGGAGCGAGAGCCAGCCTTCCTAATTTTAGAGCTCGCCCGGGCCGTTTTTCCCCCTGCGAGCACGTGTGTAAGGTCTGCCTCGTCCCCGACAGCCGTAAGGCGACCGCAGGGAAGCTGCAAGGGTGCGCGGGAGGGGATGTCAGGGCACGGGGGGGCGGTTGACCGAGAGACGTGCGTGCGCGTGGCGTTTTGGCTGCGCAACGCGCGGCGTTGTCGTACAGTGCGCAAGCCGGCGGAAGATATAAACACCGACGACGACGACGGTGGTCGTGCGTCAAGCTTGCGGCGGGCGCGCTAGCAAGAACGATAGGCGTCAAGAGCGCGCGACAACGCCGACGATGCCGTTGCCGCAACGCCACCCGCCGCGCTGCCAGCACCAGCCGGATGGGCGCGCGTTATTTAAGGTGTCAGCCGCAAGCCGCGACTCTAGCGCCCTTGCGACGCGCCTCGAGCAAGCGCAACTACGGCGGCGTTCTCTCATCAATTGGCGACGGCACGACGTTCTCTCTTACGGCCGAATGCTCGTAATGGGCGAGGAGGGAAACGTGGCGGGATATCGGGCAGCCCACGGCCGCCGCCGACACCTGAGCAGCGCGTGGTTCTAACTTCCCTCCCTCTCCACCACCCGCCGCAATTTCCTTCTCCCGTTATCCCGCCATACTGCCCCAACACTCCCATACACTCTATCCTTTCCCGCTGGTTAGTACATCGTAGACCCCCCCGCGGCCCCTCCTAACAACGCCTGCGTTCAAGTACTGCGTGCCTTGCGGGAAAGCGCGCCAACGGCGGGAGCACGCATGTTTCGGGCGAGTGACGTAGCATTTCCCCAGAAGTCTTCTTCCCTGCACCGAGACGAACGGCAGGCGAACGCGCACGCAGGCAAATCGGGATGGTTCCTTAGCACTAGCAGACACACGCTCCCGAACTAACGGTAAAGCGGGCGGAGGGTTAAGTGGCCGTTTTCTAATACGGTCGATGAGGTGATTGCTGGCGGCTGTTTTGCCGGGGAAGCTCCGCTGCTGCTCATAATGCCTCTCGCTCCTGCAATGTCAGCGCAACATCCCCCTACCCTTGCTGCACCTGTTGCGCGCTTCATAGTGCTTCTCAAATTTGGAAAGCCATTGGTACGTCTTCTCCAAGTGTGCGCTGGATTGAGAAACCTGCAGTAGGCACATGTACATGTACTAACAATTAGCGCCGCTATCTCTTGCTGCACTTTCATTCAGTGCTCGTGGTGTCGTGATGTCGCTTTGCCTGTGGAATACGGCGTCCAAATTATCTCGAGTACGCTCTTTAATATCTAAAATGCATGTTAATGGGCTATTGCATAAAGCAAGCGTATGTGGCTGTTTTTTATACGTTAGGCGTATTGAAAGTTACGCTGGGTCAACACGATGTTCTATAAACACGTTACTTTTGGCGCAAAGCTAGAAACATGATGAAAGACAGAGGAGCGTCAAACTACCTCCTGTTTATGGCCACCAGCGATTGTATATTAAGAAAGCTTCCACGCATGCGCAGTGACGTGAAAGCGTGGCATCAACATCTCAACACACAAGCTGTTAAAAAAAAGGATATCGCAAATTGATGCCGCACAATTGACGTGTCACGGAGGCAGGTCCTAGCTCTGTCTCCTTTCCTCCCTGTGCTTTTTCGCGCTTTTAGCGTTGCCCAAGAAGCTGAGCAAACTCAGGCACCAACTCGCCCCAACACAAGTTTGTGACTACACGGTGTACTTCTCCGAAGACATCAGTCAAACATGTGTAAACAACAGTCAGCCGACACGATTCTTTTTTAAAGACGATAGTCTCTCTTGGGGACCTTCGACAAAAAAATTTGGTCTGCCTGCCTGCCTGCCTGCCTGCCTGCCTGCCTGCCTGTCTGTCTGTCTGTCTGTCTGTCTGTCTGTCTGTCTGTCTGTCTGTATGTATGTCTGTCTGTACATTTGTCTGTTTGTCCACCCTAACGATACCATCCGCAGCGTCCACCAATATTGCTCAAGCTTTAGCGTTCATAATTATGCGACTGTCAATTAAAAAATCAATATTGCGCATATCTGAGTCGCCATAACACCACGTCGATGTTTCGTATGTCTGCCTTTATACTAGAAGAGGCACACACAAGTAACTCTAAGGACTGTAGCGTTTATCGCGCTGCGCTGACAGTGCAGCGCGATGCCCAAAAAGGCAAGTGTTTCCAACGCTTTGCTACGACGACACGGTGGTGGCACCTGCCCGTCGCTTTGCGTTCTACGCTTATCACCTCCGAGACAGGCGCGCATCTTTCTCAGCGAGTGCGCACGCCTTCGTTTTCGAAGATAACTGCCAGATGGCGCTCGTGTCTAACGTGCCTCGATGCGCTCATTCGCTTCCGCTACATGCTCGAGGCACTAACGCAGCGCCTCCAGAATACAATTCACCGATTTTCTTGCGCAGAACATCAAATAAATGTTTTGTTCACTCTTTCCAGACGCAAGACTATCGTCTTTCGACAATATTTGCACTGTAACATGCAAATTCGGGGCCATTTTTTTTTTCATAACGCTGGCTAGAAACGCGCTAAAAGCTACTACAAAGTGTTGCCCACATTACCGGGATACTCAATCAGTACTCGAGTCTTCTGCACTGCACGCTCACAAGTGCCCTTTGCCCTGTTCGTCGCAAATAGGTCACACAATCATTCACGTCACGCTATCAATATACGCTACCTCCCTCCCTCCCGAACCTTCGTATTATGATCTGAAGCATTGATTGCAGAAACCGCCAATGAATGACGACACTGAGTATGTAATGTTACTTAGGTTACCACTGACGGCATATAACTGATGGTGTTGACGAGTACATAGGTTCGAGCAATCATTCTAGCATTTCGATCAAAGCATTCTGCATGTGCCTCACAAGGTTGTGCACGGCTTCTGCCGGTGACTTGAATCTTCTGAAAATACAATGACCATTTTGCAAAGCCAGCTATCAAATCAAGTTGAAGCCTAGAAACTTTAATATGTAACAGTCATTTGTGCCTCGTTAACATTCAAACAGCGAGCTTTCTACGTGCGAATTTTCGTGTATTTCGTTATCAATTGATGTATTTGCAACGAATATTATGAGGTGAAATACCATGGTAGAGAGGAGGATCAGCCGGCGACCGATATATGCACCAACCTCTACTTAAATACGTACTCGCTGAATACAACTCGCCTAATGTGGCGCCTAGTGGTTATTCCTTCAATCCAGGTGCGGTATTCGCAAAAAGCGCCTTTACACGCGACGACGATAGTTGTAGCGCGAGAACAAAACGACGACACAGAGACAAGAAGGACAAGAAGGACACGAGGGTCTCTGCGTCGTCGTTTTGTTCTCGCGCTATAAATATCGTCATGCCATACCAACTAGCCCAAGGTGCCACACTTTATACGCTAATATTGCTCGCAGTGCATGGAAGTTTTCAGCCAGTCGTTATGCTGAGTATGCAGTTCACGGTGTCACCTTGCCAACGGCAAACTACACGTCAGAACTCAAAGGTTCTGAATTCGTTCTTTGCAGACAAACTGGCAAGGCTGTTCCATTCATGAGTGTTCTCCTTCGTTTGTGAACTGATATTGCGATTGATATCCCCAGCATAAGTGTTGGCCAAAATTATCTGCTAAGCGTAATCGTGGACGTGCATAACTGCTGTGTCTCGATAATTTTGCTAAAACGGCGTGCCTGCTGAACGCTATGCTTCAGCTAAAGCTGTTCATATACTGTAATGAGCTACTCCCGTCCACTGGAAGCACAGAGCGGTTGACACGTGCTCATATATAGAGA